CCCGCCGCCGTGACGTCACCGCCCCGCCCGGCCGCCGCTGCGCCTGCGCCGTGTCCGCCCGGCCCCTGGCCTCCCACGAGGAGGGTCCTCGGTTCAGTTGGAGCGGCACGGCGTCTCTGGTGCCCCCGATTCCGGACCCGCGGGGGTGCCGTCTCCACCGCCCGGCCGACCCCCGAATCCCAGAGCCTAGCTCCCCCAGCGTGAGGGCGCGTGGGGATCCGCCGCCTGCGGGCCGGAGGAGCGACGCCATCACCGGGCACAGCAGGCCCAGTGTGGGGCCCGGACAGCCTGCCCCTCCTGCTGCCTCCCGCCCCGGGGCAGGGGCACCGAGGGGCCAGCTTGGCCCTCCCGCCAGCCCCTCCCAGGCAGGCCAGGCCAGTCCCCATCTGACCCCACCCCAGGCTCATGACACCCACCTTGGTGAGTCAGCTTGACTCCAGCCTCCCCAGCTCCATCATCAGATGCCTGAGCCTCACCGCGCTCCCCAGTCTTCCCCCGCACCCCCCCCCCCCCACGTTTCTCCACCCTGTGACCTCCTTGGGCCCTGTCCTGTTTGCATGAGTCGCCCGCTCTCCCTGGTCCTTCCCAGCCTAGCTATTGAAGTTTTAATTCTGAAAATTACCAGATGAGATCATACCTGACCTCTGGGCTGCAGCCTCCTGTCCCCTCCCTTCCCCTGAGCCAGCAATGCAGTGTGCATGCGATGCAGTCAGACTGCCCAGCTCTGGACAGACACCTACCTGATGACCCTGCGGGAACGTGACCAGATGCCAGCTCTTCTGCCTCGACGTCACCCCGGGGACAATGTTGATCCCAGGCACTCCTGCTGTGTACCCACTGCGTGGACCCCCCTCATCCATTGTCCTTGCCGTGCTCGTAGTCCAGGCAACTGGAAAGGGGTAGGAGAAGTGGTGCCGTCGTGTACAGGTGGGGAAACTGAGGCCCAGGCCCAAAGGCCTGAGTGAGAAGTGTTGCTGGGGCTGGGACCAGCTCTTCCAAGCCCAGCAGTTTCCCGCACCCTGTGTGGACCTCAGTGAAGACTGAGGAAGACACAGTGAGCTTCAGGGTGCAGGCGGGCTGGTCTGCATTCCCCGGCGTGGTAGCTGAATAACGCCTCCCGCAGGTGTGCACGTCGTGATGCCCAGAACCTGTGAATCTGGGACCTTACGAGGCACAAGGGACTTTACAGACACGATTACATTCAGGCTTTTGAGATGGGGAGACAGTCCTGGATCATGCTGTTGAGGCTGACGTCCTTACAAGTAGGAAGCAGGAGGGTCGGAGTCTGAGAAAATGGAGAGACAGAAGCAGAGGCCAGAATGATGCAGGGCTTTAAACCCAGGGATGCGGCCAGCCTCTCGAAGCTGAATGGGACAAGGAAGTTGGACCTCCCCTGAACCCCCCCCCAGGAGGACCGCGGTCCCACCGAGGCCTGGAACCGTTAGGGAATAAATGCAGGTTGGTTTAAGCCACTGTGTGGTTATTTTTTCCAGCAGTCATGGGAGACTAATATATCCGGTGACCCCTGGCTACTAAAAAGGTGCTGCCTTGGGGGAGCCGAGACTCAGGAGGTGGCAGAGGGGACTCGCCGTTGGGTGCTCGGCGGTGGGGGAGGGGGGTGCAACCCAGGTGCTGACAGGTGGCCCCTGGCTACTCAGGCCAGCGTCCAGGCAGGCCGGGCATGAGACGTGGGGGCACAGGCTGAGGGCCAGGCCTCCAGCTGGGTGGGTGGGGCAGCTTCTGTTCAAGTTTCAAAGGCTCACCTGCTGGGGAGACTGGTCAGAGGGAGCCTAGTGCCTTTAAAGTAGGCGTGCAGGAGACACAAGCAGGACTCCCTGGAGGGTAGCGGAGGGGTTGGGTGCAGTGTGGTCAGGAGGAAGAGCCTGTGTGCCCCCCCCCCACCTCCTCTCGGACACCTCCGTCCACCCCTGATCTCCAGCCCCGCTGAACAGGAGTGGTGGACAGCTTCTCCACCACCAAGCTAAGCCTCAGGAGGAAGGGGCCAGCCTCCACTTGGCCCGGAGCCCCACGGTATCGTGTGCCTCGCAGCACTGCCTGATGAAGATGGGGAGGCGTCCCTTGCCCCCGGAAGCACCTGGGTGTCCTGCTTCTCTGGGGTTTTTGGACCTCAAGGAGGCCACCTGCCCCCAGGCCTGGATCAGGCACTCAGCTTGCGGGAGACTGAGGCAGTTAGAGGCCAGGGGTCAGCGGACCCGAAGCTCCCCTGCCCCCACCTGTATCAGGACCGGATGGGGGGTGGGCAGATGGTGGCCGACAGGGTCCTAGATGTCCCACCACCCAGTCGTGCCTCTGGGGCTGGGCCGGGCCAGGGCAGGGACAACGGCAGAGCTATTTTTGTTTATGGCACTGCGGCAGCCGCAAGGAGACATCAATCATTGATGTTCTGGGCCTCCCTGCCCACCAGAGAGGCTCGGAGAGCAGCCAACCAGGAGGAGCGAACTCTGCTGAGGGGCTAAGCCTGTGGAGCCGGCAGCCACGACTCCTCATCCCGGCCCCGCCGGTGCCCTGCATCCTAGGCTCTGGTTCCCAGGTACCCAGCCTCGGGAGGCTGCGGGCAAGCCTGAGAACCCTGACTGGCAGGCCAGGGCCAGGGCCGAGGCGTGGCCCCCAGTGTCCCCGGTGCGGTGGTCCCAGGGAGGAGGTGGAGCCCGTGTGGCCAGCAGGAGAGACCGTGGGTCGCTGCAGAACCACCACGTCCCCCGCCACCCCGACCCTCAGATGCCACGCGGGGCCGCGTCTGGGCCGGGGGTGGCTGTGAGTTGAGCCCGAGACGCCGTGCTGGTGGGAGGACAGCAATTTCTGAGCTGTGTCCAACTGCCGTGGCCTTCCCCAGCAGGGCATCGGTCCCCAGCGGGGCCATCAGGACGGGGCGGTAGCTGGGCGTGACGACAGCAGCTCCTGGCAGCTCAGGGCTCTGCGGAGGCTCACGGCCAGGCTTTGGCTGGGGGGCAGGGACAGGCGGGGAATGGGGGGAGCGGCAAGGCTGGGCTTCCCAGGCTCTGCCTGGGCAGCGTCCTCCCCTGGCTCCCCTGTGATCCTGGGGCCAGGCTGGGGCTTCTGAGGCGTCGGCAGGTGGGAGGAGGGACTGGGCCTGGGGAAGTGGGGCCCAGTCGGGCTGGCCCTGGGTGGGTGAGGGCCAGTGTGTGGGCCGTCTCCCTGTCTGCAGGGGCAGCTCGCCATCACTGGTGCACGCAGCTGAGGGGCCAGGCCCTCCTAGAGGTGAAGTGGGGCCCACAGGGGGCCCAGGGGAGTGTGCGGGGGTGAGCATAACAGGTGAAGTCAGCTCTCCGCTGAGAGCAGGCAGGAGAGGGGAGGGGGAAGCCTCTGGAGCAGGGGTGTCCTGTCCACCCCCACCCTGAATCTGGGGCCCTGAGCCAATGCCGAGCCAACTCCCTTGCTGCAGAGCGAGCAAGGCCCGAGGGTGACCGTGTAAGCCACCCAGCCCCCACCAAGGCCAAGGGCAGAAGTGGCCCCAGTCTCCCCCAGGCCCTGGCCGGTCAGGGGTCCCAAGGACCACCCGCCTGCAGAGGGGCTAGCTGGGGGCCAAGTGGGACCCTCCTCCTGGCCTCTGCTTAGGCAGGGCAGCCTCCTGGCCTCCCCACCCAGGGCCCCATCATCCCCTCCCCCACACAGCTGGTAAGAGCCACCATAGCCCCACATGCATCGTGCTGGATAATCAGGACATGTCACATGGAACGAGACCGCCTCATTTGGACAGGGACCCAGGGTCCACACGACTTTACCAAGGTCACTCACCCAATGGAGCAGGGGAACACAGAGCTGGGTCTGTACCCCAAGGTCCCTGATTATTCAAGACCGCTCCCTTGTTCCCAGGCCCCCACAGCCAGACTCACAGACGCAGACAGGCAGGCAGGCTGAGATCCCAACAGATCTGGACAGATGCTGGACACACTAGGGACACAAACAGCACTCCCCCCCCCCTGCACCCATGAGCGACAGGGCAGGGCAGGACCTCAGGAAGAGAGGAGAGCACAGGGTCCCTGGCTCCAGGGCAATGCTGCCCAGCCCAGGACAAAACACCGGGGCAAGAAAGGGGAGACCCACAGCCCGTAGTCTGCACCTGGAGGACAGGGCTGTGCCCCACTGTGGCATGGGCTCAACGGATGGGAGGCTGCCAGAGCCTCTTCCCAGAAGCGATGCGCGTGCCTGTGTGACCCGCTGCTGGAAGGCTGCCTGGCTGCGGCCTGGCTAGCGGGAACTGGCGTGCATGAGTCATCCTGCCGGGCAGGCTCACCTGGGCCCCACTGGCTGCGTGAGTCCGGGAGTAGAGTGCACGTGCGCGTGCCTGTGTCCTGTTGTGCACATCCGGGCACATGGGCCCGAACGGGTACATGGGTGTATGTGTGGGCGTGGGCGTGGGCCCGTCTCCGTGCACAGGGACATACCCAGTAGATCCGTGACTGTGTATTAGTGTGAGTACGTGTGTCATCTCGACACATGTGTGTGCGTGTGTGTGTGCACGTCCACCTGTCTGTCCCGGCACCACCAGCACCATTCCTAGGAAGCCCGCAGGAATGGTCCTCCTTGGTGGCAGCTATGCTTCTCTGGGTCTGTGCCGGCCCAGGCCCCCCAGCGCCAGCCCCAGCAGGACCCACACCTCTGAGGCGCCCTTCCCCAGGTCTAGGTCAGGCTGGACTGCAGCTCCCTCCCCGCTCGGTGGGAACAGAATTCTCCTGGGCCTCTCCACTCCCCGCTCATTCGCCGAGGAAAGCCTCCTCCTGCACAACGCCAAGCTGGAGCCCAGGCCAGCCCGCAGCCGACCCCACTCCAGTCTTCAGCAGGTCCCCTGCCGGCTTCTGGAACATCCTGGGTCCTTGTCTCCTTCCTCATGTTGCTGCTCTGGCCCAGCCCCCACTGTCTTGCAGAGCTTCTGACTTGCAGCAGTGTCCCCAGGGACAACCCCCCCCCCCCCCCCCCGCGGACCGGGCGCCGGCCCAGCCCCTGGTGGTCTTTTCAAAGCTCTCTGACCAGTCTTGCTGCCCCCTGCCCCACGGCACCTGATTCTCAGCCCTGTGAGCTAGCCTGGGCCCTCTTACCCTGCCCTGCGCACACACACTACTCCGGGCTCTGGACTGAACTTCCCGCACTCCTGACGTCCTAGCTTAGACTGACCCCTTGGGAGCCTGCCAGGAACCCCTCCCCATGCACCCCCAACACCGTGCTAGCCGGCAGAGCACACCTCCAGACTGGGAGCCCCCAGGGCAGGGCCAGTGAGGCCACATCACACGCCCCTCGTCTCCTTGGACTCCCGCGGCCTCTATGGCCCCCAGGGCGCCCCGCCCCCCCAGCTGAAATGTCCTTCTCTGGGCTGGGAGGTAAGACTGCGGGGCGCGGGTCCAGTCCGGGAGCCTAGGCGCGGCGTGTGGAGCCCCCTCCCTGGCAGGGGCCCAGAGTCCACTGTCTGGACCCAGAAAGGCCAGCTGAGGGCGCGGGGCCGGCCCGCCGCAGGGGTCGGGACTGGCGGCTGGACGCGGGAGGGGGGGCGGCGGCGGCGGGGTCCCGGGGGGCGTGGCCGGGTCGGGAGGGGGGCGTGGCCCTGCGGGC